ATATATATATATATATATAATTTGTTTATTTATTTATACTCTCTTGTATTCATTTATTTGTTAATTGTTAGGCTTCTTGATCTGGGACCCGAGTCCAAATTTCGTACCATAAACATGCAAATGTGAGCTGGTGTGACAATAAAAAATCCTTGAATACGTATACGTATGTGAACATGTCATAAGCATTTATTCATTGTGGTACTTGGTGAACATTTGCATATTTTCCTTTCAAGGTTGTGTTTCCAACTATTCTCCAACAGCCGCAGCCCAGCGAGATACAGCTTAATAGCAGCCATCCCTCAGGTCTGATTGTTGTTATTGGAGAAATTTTATTATAGTCCTGCTACAGGCGGCACTGGAAGTGTTACAGCTGCAAACTGAGGCTGTTCAAAAGACTACTAACAACAGATAGGGTATTATCTGTTCACAGTTTTCCCACAAAACCTAACTTATAAATATCTAAACTTCTGAAACCTGCAGACAGCCCAAATGACGAGCTGAATTTACAGAACCAATTGTCCTCCTTTCCATTGGCAACATGTTTTCAGTTTCTTTACTTACATCTAAAGTATGCACTAAATGATTTCATCCAAAGATACTTGGCTGCAACAAGAATTAAACATTACATGACCACACCAACTGCCCCCTTTTTACAGCAATTAAGCCCATAAGAAAGGGGGGTGGTGCAGTTGGTGCACTTTACAGTTTTCAGTCCTACAACAGACTTTGATGTTGCATTTACTGCCAGTAGAACCAGCACGGAGAAAGAATTAGCAAGATGGTGATCAAGGTGGAGATAAATGAATGATGTGCTATCTGACGCCTCTCTTCCTTTGGAAAGATGTTGATGTCTCAAAGCCCTGAGTGAAGTGGGTAGCAGCAAAATGGGTTCTCGTAGACAAAGATGCGCATCTCTGATATTTGCTAGCTATTAAGAACAAAAGCACTAAAGCAGGCAAACTTGATAGAGAGCCTACTTGGTATTAATTACAAGGTTAATGGAACACTAAAAGCCATAAGAGACAACTGGGCTTGAAAGGCATACATTTTGAAGCTTTATTGATGTGGAGATGCAGGTATCAGAAAGCCCTGGATGTGTTCGGAGAGGGAATTTAGGGTTTTAGCTAGAATGTTTAGAATTTTGGATTAATGAGTGCTAGGACAATAAATGGTGTCTTTTGCAGCTAAACACTGTTGTTGTACTTCACAACATACTGCTTTTAATATGTATACATGCAAATTTAAGCAAAAGTTTCATCAGTTGCTTCTGTTTGAGGGAAACCAGATGACTTCAACATGATCCAGCATTAAGGTAGCCCGTTCCTTGAATGGTTTAATATTTTTGGTTTAAAAAAAACGTATTGGGTTTTCTTCACGAGTTGCATGAGAAAATCAATACAAGCACCAAGAATCTTTAAAGCTCACTAATTAACACATTATGCTATGTCAAATTAATCAATACAGCAGAAGTCATATCCACCGCTCAGACTGCAGAGTGGTATTGATCTTTGATCTTTTGAAAGTAACTGGATGCAGATAGATTGCTGTCTCAAAACATTTATTTTAATTCTTTTAACCCTAACAATAGGTGTGTCTCATTTACAGCACACATCATTACAGTTTAAAAAGTAGGATTTATGTGTTTGTTGGTCCACGCCGAAGCCTAACGTTGTTTGTTTGCATCTGTTAAGCCTCCCCGTCTGTGTGCGTCTTTGTCCCTGTTTGTGTGTGAGTCCCTATCTGTTTTATCTGTCTATCCGGGATGCTACTTCAGATCTAATTTGTTCCAGCCGAGCTAATTGAAACCTCTATTCAGCGAGCCGCTGTGGACATTGTCCGCACTGAAAAGGCGACAGTCCTTTTCTCTCACCACCATTGTTTGGGAATGTAATGAATTTTATGTTGCTGCCGCCGCCGGTGCAGAAATCCATTTTTCTCCCCCCCTTCCCAGTTCCTCGTCCTTTTGTGGCGCCTCCCCACCTATCCTTCAGTTCATCAATAGCCAATTTATCTGCCAATCTGTGGCAGGGGAATGACATTATTAGGAGGCTAAACAGCAGCTCTCACACCGGCCCTCCCCTCCTCTTTCAGATCTGTACAAAAATGGACTTCAGAGGGACACCTTCCTACCTTTCATCGACGTGCTAAAGGTAGAGACAAAGTCACCCCTCTCTGTCTTGTCTCGTTAATTTATTCATTTGTTTATTGCACACCTACACACTTGCATCTGTGCCTCTGTCCCTAATGTGCACATCCTTTTGCAAGTTGCTCTCCCATGGTTTGATGTTTTCTACTTCCTGGATGCCTCGCAGCGTGTCACAAAGCTGTCTTTGATCATACTGGGACACACAGAAACACTAAACAGGAAAAAAATAGAAGAGGGTAGGGAGAGATGGGCAGAGCGAGAGTGAGTACAGGTAATGTGAAAGAGTGAACATGAGTGACTGACTCACACGCCTTGCATTTCAAAAGTAGAGTTGGTGAGGAGGGGGCAAAGGAGATGCAGCAGTTAGCCATTTCTAGCAAGAAAAAAAAACATCTACTTTGCAATTTAAGCAGGTTGCACCATTATCCCACCTGCGTATCAGATGATCTTTGATGTGTTCAGTGATCCTGATCATAAATAATCGCATAATAATTTGTTGTGCATTTTGCAACAGCGGAGAACATTCTTGCACCTTTTATTGGTATTTATTATAAACAAATTTGAGCACCACGGCTTCTTGTGTCACAACTGCTTAAAGTTTTACTGTTCTGGAGCAAAAATAAATGTTGGTGGGGAAAACCCAACTGATATCCAGCGTTACGCTCCCTCTACACAAACAGTAGAATGTAGGTGAGCATGCAGTTTAGTAGGTGGTTTAAACCAAGTTTAACAATAGTCGATGTGTGTGTGTGTGTGTGTGTGTGTGTGGGGGGGGATCTTACTGTTGTTTGTATTTCACACATTAATTTTTATACATTATTATATTCAATTCAGTTTATATAGTGCCAAGTCACAACAGAAGTTTGTCTCAGGGCACTGAACAAAAACATTTACATGCATTAAAAAAACTTAGTAAAGTCATCTATCTAAGGAAGCCAATAGGTTGCGTTGAATCGTCACTTTATCACAGTCTCCCATCCAGAGCAAGCACAAAGGCAACGGTGGAAAGGAAAAACTCCCTTAACAGGAAGAAACCTACAGCAGAACCAGGCTCAGGACAAGCGACCATCGGCTTTGACCAGCTGGGTTCGAGAGGACAGGAAGTAGAAAACGACACAGAATGTCAGGTCCAGGTGTACTTTCTATTGGAGAAAAAACAAAAAACAAACAAACAAAAAAACACGTTAAGGATATAAATAAATACAAATACAAACAGAGCAAGTAAAGACAGCAGCAGAGTGAGGAAATGTGGTCAATTTGTCCTCAGCAGTCTAAACCTATAAGGGATAGCTCAGGAAACCCAAGCCAACCCTAACTATAGGATTTATCTAAAACAAAATACTTAAGACTAATTCTAATTAGACAATGTGTCAGCCTCACAGACTGAAACTAGAAGCTGGTTCCACAAGAGAGGAGCCTGATAACTGAAAGCTCTACCTCCCATTCTGCTTTTGGAAAATCTAGGAACCGCCAGTAAACCTGCAGTCTGAGAGCGAAGTGCTCTGTTAGGAAAAAAATGGAACAATAAGATTTGTAATATAAGATGGAGCTAGGTTGTTGAGAGCTTTGTATGTTAGAATATTGTATGTCAAGAATGCTGTATGTCAGCCTGTTTTTTTTCTTACTGTTTTAGTACTTTCTAGTATTATCACCTATTTTGTAGAGCTTGAAAAGTTAAATGTGTGTTTATAGGACTAAGCAGAGGCCTAATGGTAATTTTAACTGATGATTAAAGTGTGGTCCTAATATAGTGGAATGTCTTTATTTTTGGTTGGGGTTAAGTTTAGGGTTAAGCTATGAATGGAGTGTAGGTTGCGATTAGGGTTAGGGTGCAAGCTTAACTCTGCTTTATTGCACACAAATGCATTTTCCTTACCAATGTCTACAGGTCTCTCTTGTAAATGAGTCCTTGTGGCTCAATGAGCCTAACCTGTATAAAAAAGGGTTAAATGAACGTGGCACCATTTAACGGCCAATAAACCGTAAAATATTGTTTGCCAAGATGCGTTGTTATAACGAAGATATGGTCAAACAAACTATACATTTCCTCACTGTTTGTGCTAATTCGATAAGCATACTGGTAAAAATGCAGAAACGTTTCATCCAGTTTTTATATGTTAAGTTGTTTTCTTGCAAGATTATTATTAACACATGGTTTGTGTCACTTATATTAATAGTTGAACAATAGTAACTGATCTGAAACACCAAGGACAGTTTAATTATCAAACACACAACAACTTGGGAAGTCTTGGAGTCTCCCCCCCCCCCCCCACACACACACACCCCTCACCAATCCAGCAACAACCTTGCCCCCTCTAATCCACCCTCATCAAGCTCCTGAATGCCTGTTGTCCCCCTCTACCCTGAAATACCTCCTTTCTTTCAGGGTACCATGTTCCTCTTTGTGAAGCCATCTGGTTTTGGGGGGGTCGGGGATCTTTTTTCTATTTTTTGGTGAGGAGGTGCGTTGCGTTCTTTCTGGTGGCGCAGCTCTGCTTAGTTAAAGTGTGCTCTAGCGAGGTGGCATTGCTAACTAGCTGACCCTTAATAGATCAAGTTAATTCTTGCAGGGGGTTAGACGTAGATCATTCCGACCAGAGCCCGTTTCTTTGGTGAATGCAGGAAAGAGTGAGGACGTAAAGAAAATGGCCTCTGACCCCTCCTCCTGATCACCTGAGCTGTGGTGGTAGAGGTTAATCCACCCCTTCTGTCTGCCCGAGTCAACGTCTTTATTTAACCATTGACTTCTGGTTAGTTCGGACCCCTTTTTTCCTCAATGTGCCCCTTCCTCCACAAACATCTGAAGAAAGCATTTGATTGGGTAGAAGTAAAGTAAAGTAGTAAATTAGTGGAGGGCATAAAGTTTCATTAGTCTTAAAAGGCTAGCAGATATTCACTGCTTTGGTTTTTATTTGTAATTCCCTGTCCCCTGCAGAAGCTGTTGGACATTATATTCATTTGTTAAGGCTTCGTTTTCTTTGTGTCCATAGCCAAGCTCAGAGTTTTGTAAAAATACACTCTTTAGTGTGTGTTTATGTGGGGAGGGGGGTCTTTTTTAATGGACACTGCCAGTATTGTAACTAAGACACTCTTTCGCTCTCATGAGCCGTCCTCCCTCTCCACTCTACTTTTCATTGCACATCCAGACTCGCCACTCTTCTATCCCCTCTCTTTATTCTGTCACCATCCTGTTCTGCTTGCTGGCTTTACCCACCCAAGGTCAGGTCTCTGTTTTGGTAGCAGAATAGTGACTTTATTTTTCCTCTTGCTTGTTCGATTCACAGTTGTGCACAAAGCTATTGAGGGGAGAAAACAAACAAACATAAAAAAAAAAAACGACAACACGAGACAACTTGGAGCATCTCTGGGTGTCCTGCTCATGTTTACCCTTCTTTTGATCTGCTCTCCTTCGCTCTGTGTTATTGTTGATAATTGCAATGTTCTGTGTGGTTAGTGATGGGGAAACCTAGAAATATATAAATCAATATGGAACGATGGAGAATTGAAGAATGAGAGCAATGTGTTCCTCTAGCGGAGACCTTGGTGAGAAAAGCTGTGTTCATGAAGAGCAGAAAGGCTTATGATTTCATGGCAAATGGACTTGGATATTAATGAGAGACATTATCTTCCCAAACAATAAGGTCGAGGGAGTAACTATAGCAGAAGGCAAAAAATCTCATCACTTAAAATCTGATCAATTAACACAAATTGATTTTCTGCCTTTAGACTTCTGAGGAAAGAAGCCTGGATGCAAAAGTTTTTTTTTTTTTTTTTTTACTGTGGTTTGCATGCCACTTGTGTTATATTATCTGGATGATAACACATTCAAAGACAGGATTATTTATTTTGAATCCTCGCATAATAGGTCACATTAGCCCAAGGCAACCCCAAACACAAACATGTCGCGCTGCATGTCTTCAGGTTTTGGTTGGGTGCTTTTCAGACAGTGTGTGTTTGAGTCTTTGCTGACAATTATCACAAATATAGTGCGCTGTTGGTTAGTTCACACTTTATATTTGTTATGAACTGAATTTCTCCGTTTGTAAATCCTGATTTTCTAAACTCGTCTTTTGATATAGAAATAGTTCAAATAATGGTGGTATGGTTTCATAGAACTTCATTTTTTTAATCACCTGCCACCATGAAAGGTGAGTACCGTACTTTCCGGACTATAGAGCGCACCTGAATATAAGCTGCACACACTAAATTTAAAGAAAAAAAAAAAAAAAACAATTTTGTACATGTATAAGCCGTGGATGTTCACGTAGTAACATGAGTGGCAGCACACAACTACTGAGAGAGATGTGCAGCTCTTGTTGTAGATCAATAATCAACCACTAGCTGGTGTTTCATAGACTTTACTTTGCTTCTCAACATGGACAGTGAACCTCACTGGTCTTCATGACAACTCATGGTTACTCTACTGAATGGAAATACACACTAACATAAGGAACGCATAAACTAGGCTAAGAAGAACAGACTAATCACTAAAAGCACAATGCTAAACTGCTAACCGAAATGATAAACATAAACATAAATTCAACCCTTAATTACTTCCTGAGGCCATGTGACTGACAGTCAACATCAATGAACCTCAGAATACCATAATATGTACTGGTAACAGACACAAGTACGTACAGTCAGTATCAAAGCTCTTGCTCAACAATCCAGGTAAAAAATCCAACAAAGTTAAGTCAGGTCCTCTGGACGGTTTCTGGTTGTTTTGTCTTTCATCCAAAAGACTTAATCAGTCCGAGGAGCCACAACAAACTCAATCTTATAAATAGCACCCTCACATAGTGGGTCAACCAGTTTGATGGTGCTAAGATGGTTTCTGGAGTCCGCCCTCTCCCCGCCGACTCGTCTTATGCAGCAGCCATGGCCAAAGTGGTTCACCGTACAGTTATTTTATTTTTTTTCTTAACAGTGCCGATAACACGGCTGGCTTAAAAAAAAAATACAGTAGCCTACCAGGAAGTCATTGATCACTATCTTCATATCCCT